TTTTCTTTTCTTTTCTCCTTTCTGTTTCGTTACACTAGGTCGTTTTTTTCTGTTATTTTCTTTTTCTTTCCTTTCCTATTTTTCTTCTCCCTTTTCCTCGTGCCTTCATTCCAGTAGTGTAGAAGTCGTTAACTCGATTCGAGTATTAAAACTTCCTTCGAATTCTAAATCTTCTACTTTAGAATTCAAAGCTTCGAGTTTTAAACTATTCAACTTTTAAATCTTATAAATTTAGAATTCGAAGTTTCGAGTTTTCCGCTTAGCAACTCGTAAGTGATTGATCGTAAATCTTGGAGTGACTCATTATTAACTACTATATAACTGTCAATTAAATATTAACCAACCGATTACTTATTATCAATCAATGGGTTATCAAGTAATCGGAATCTCACTATTAAAATACTACTTAATCATTCATTCACTATATGACCATGAATTATCAGCCAACTAATCGTAACAAATCCCGTTCATATTGACCCTGACTATGCTGTTGCAAGCTGCACCCTTCCCAACACCCTCACCCACCCTCAAGATGGATCGCGTTTCACATTTTAAATTCTGTTAGGGATTGCGCTGAAATCTTTTTATAGGATATTTGTCAAGAAAACCGAGGGGAACTATGTCGTAGTTTGTATAAAGAATCTTTTTGTTCGGTCCTTACCTTGGGTGTGTTGATTTTGAGAAGTTGGTCGAATTTTCATACTAATTTGATGATTGACATTTAATTGTAAATGTTAATTAAGTCGCATGGTAATGTCGGTACGAGAACAAAAGCAAATGCTTCAAGTGAGTACACGTTTGAACAAGCACATAATAAGGAATATTTTAGACTTTCACTTTAACTGAACAGATCGGTGGGGTTAGAAATTCATTTTTTTTAGATACAAAATCAAATAGCACGATTAATACATCGTCCGAAGAACAATCAAATGCTCAAAAATATTCTTATTTCGGGTGCCGGAATTGCTGGACCGACTCTTGCGTTCTGGCTTGCCCGTTATGGCATGAGAGTAACTGTAGTTGAACGAGCATCGAAAATACGTACTGAAGGGCAAACTATCGATGTCCGTGGTGCTGGTATAGAGATCATGCGGAAAATGGGTATCGACAAGATTATTCGAAATAGTACTACTGAAGAAGAAGGCATCAAATTTGTGGATGGGGACAATCACATTAAAGCCGCTTTTCCTGTCCATGCGGTTGGCGGTCCCGATTTCGTTTCCGAAATAGAGATAGTGCGAGGAGAGCTTGCTACGATACTTTATGAACATACTCGTAACAATGTTGAATATATCTTTGGAGATAAGATAACTGGCATCGTAGATCGCGATGATCGCGTACAAATAAAATTTGCCAAAACAACTGATCGTGATTTCGATTTGGTATTGATTGCCGATGGACTAGGATCAAGAACTCGTGAACTCGTGAACTCGTGTTTGAAAATAGTGCGTCGGCTATTCGTCGTCTCGACCAATACGTAGCTTACTTTTCGATTCCTTACGAAGAGTCAGATGGTACTTGGGCACGTTGGTACAATGCACCTGGAAGAAGATGCATCGCTCTACGGCCTGATGGACGAGGACGTCAAACAACTCGTGCGTACTTAGCAATCTGTATTAGTGAAAATATCTTTGAAAAATCCGATGTAGATAATCAAAAAGCAGAATTACATAAGTTATTTGGGGATGCTGGTTGGGAAGCACCTCGTGTTTTATCTGCTATGGACCGTTCGACTGATTTTTATCTGCAAGAAGTTGCACAACTCAAAATGAACACTTGGTCCAAGGGTCGAATTGCTTTGTTAGGTGATGCTGGCTATTGTCCTTCGCCCATCAGTGATATGGGAACAACTGTTGCAATTGTAGGAGCCTACGTCCTCGCCGGAGAAATTGCTCATCATAAAGATTACAAAGATGCATTTGCTTCCTATGAAACTATTCTTCGTCCATTCATTACAAAAGCACAAGCTTTACTTCCTGGAGCACCGCAGATTGCAAACCCTCAAACGCAATGAGGAATTGCAGTGTTCAACACAGCACTGCGTATGATAAGTGCCAGTTTAAAGATAGGCGCAGGAAGTCTGGCTAAAAAGTTCATTGCACCGCCCGCTGATTCCATTACACTTCCCAACTACGACAAATAACCCGTTTTATATGTTTCTTTGTGTGTGAGAGTGATTATATTGTGAATCATTTTCAATCTTGTGCTTATTTGTTATTTTTACCTACTATATTTGGAATGAAAGTGAAAGTTAGAATTCCTAGCAAAACCTTTCGTGATTTATCAAGCGAGAAAACGAGGACAATCGTTAGTATAATAGCCTAAAACTTGCCAGTAATAGCTTGCACATCGATTTGAAGTAAGATTCTGGCACAAGCCATTCATTTCCGTGCTGGTGATTATTTTCATAATTCGCAAGCTCGGTCAAGTTAATTTCACTTGAGCAAAGTTTTCTAAAGGCAGCCGCAGAAGCGCGATGGTGAATAGATGTGTCATATTGTAGTGTTAATTGGCCATTTTTACTGGTAAAGAAAATAAAGTTGACAAGTGCACCAGTCTTAACTGAACTGACACCATCTTCATAAAAACATCTGATTTGTTTGAAAACACATTGAAGTTTTTCGTTTATGCTTCATTTATTTATGTCGTTTCGCTCTGAAGCGCTTACGACTCCTCTTTTCTTTAAAGAAACACTAACTCTTGCGGTACAAAGCTACAAATTTGTGGCGCTAAGCAGTTATTAGTGCAAGCTATAACATGTGCGTATTACACTTTATGAGGAGAGAGTAATGATAAAAAGAGAGAGAAAAAAAGGAGAATGAAAGATTTGCTATGAAATATGAAATATAAAAAAGATAGAGAACACCGAAATACTAATGCGTGATCAAGTTGGTATGTGTTACAAGACTGTTAAGCACGAAATACAATACGAAAAGTGGAAGATAACGAGCAGCATAGAAAGAGAGAAAGCAAGAGAGAGTTGTTACATATTTTGTTAAATATGTGTGCAAAGCTATGCTCCTGTATTTTCTTCATGTGAGTAGATGGAAGATTCTGTACTCATTCTTCTGCTTCTGGATGAACTTCTTTCATTGTGTGATTAAATTTATCATTTGTATATATAATGAATGGTTTCTCTTTGACNGTACCTAATGTAACGAAAAAAAGAATATTTCACATTTTATTTACGATTGAAAACATTATCAAATCCCATAGAAACATTTTTCGATTTGTAAATTTCTGTAATCTCAAATTTACTTATTTCATTCAATATGCCTTGTTGTTGTGAAACCGTTCTAAAACCACGTATACTTAAATGTTCAGTTCCGTTACATAATACATGTTCATGGAAAGAATATCGTTATCCATACTGTGTACCACCATTTTCTACTCAGTCGCGTCAACGATGTTCAGTAGTTTGTCCTTTGGTGCAATTAAAAACTTCATACAACTACCAATCATGTCGATCAGAATTCTTTCGATTATTTTACGAACGCGGTGATCTTCCATGTGCAATAGAGCATACGACGAAGGGTCAGCAGTTAAAATGGTTTATCGATAGTCTAGATATGTTAAATCTTGATTATTATTTGCCGATATTTGCTGATGGACTATGTGAAGGAAAATATCCGTATAGCTTCATTGCTTTTCAAGGTGATAGAGAATCTACCATTAATGCTATTATATTGGTTATTTCTCAATATCTAGGTGTTTTAGATATAATCGCGCGTGCATCACAAAAGATTGACAATGACACACTATCGAAATTGATACAACCGTTTAAACGTGCTCTTTACAACAACAACCCAATAATTATTCGTCGCGTTTTGATTGTACTTCAAAAGTTAGCCGGTGGAAATGATGGAGCACTTGGCATCGCTTTAGTACCTTACTTTAATCAACTTTTACCGATTATCAATATTATCAGAGACCGAAGTCAAAGACGATCTCGCGGCAATCGAACACAATGTCGTACTATCGATGATTTTGAACGAAATGTTGAAATCGATCTTATTCGATTGATTGACGAAACACTATTAATGCTTGAACAATTCGGTGGACAAGACGCTTTTATCAACATTAAATTTTCTATACCTACTTATGAACAGCAGATCGACCTAAAACAACTATCTTCTGCACAAATGAGTACTGCTATACAGCCATTTCTAAGCGTTTGACTCTCGTTTGTTTACTATTTTCATTCAATTATTATTCAAATGTACTACAGCGCTTTGAAATGTACAGAGAAGAACCTCGTTCACATACATATATTGGATATCCTTACATTACTCATCTTCAAAAGTATAGAACAAATGTGTCGAATTTTTGAAAGAAATGAAATGAATCAGTTCCGTTTATGCTTCATTTATTTATGTCGTTTCGCTCTGAAGCGCTTACGACTCTTCTTTTCTTTAAAGAAACACTAATTCTTGCGATACGAAGCTACAAATTTGTGGCGCTAAGCAGTTATTAGTGCAAGCTATAACATGTGCGTATTACACTTTATGAGGAGAGAGTAATGATAAAAAGAGAGAAAAAAAGGAGAATGAAAGAGTTGCTATGAAATATGAAATATAAAAAAGATAGAGAACACCGAAATACTAATGCGTGATCAAGTTGGTATGTGTAACAAGACTGTTAAGCATGAAATACAATACGAAAAGTGGAAGAGAACGAGCAGCATAGAAAGAGAGAAAGCAAGAGAGAGTTGTTACATATTTTGTTAAATATGTGTGCAAAGCTATGCTCCTGTATTTTCTTCATGTGAGTAGATGGAAGATTCTGTACTCATTCTTCTGCTTCTGGATGAACTTCTTTCATTGTGTGATTAAATTTATCATTCGTATATATAATGAATGGTTTCTCTTTGACTATCATTGGTTGTTTATTCGATTTCTGTTCGTGATTACTTTTTAGCACTTTCCAAAATTTGACACGTATATAGTAGCAGCTCAACAGAAGAAAGATGCATAGAATACCCATGATGAAGAGTTTAGCAACGTGCGACCAGTTATTTAAGTTGAGCTGGTTCTGTTTCTCTAAAAGAGCTTTAACTTCTGTTTGGTGATTGTCAATCTGCACTTTGCATGATTGTTCATGACCAAAGAGATGAAGATACGCGCTGCTTGTAAGACACAGACTGTATAAAAACAAATGAACCAGTACTTGCATTGTAATGATTTGGGTTTTGTTTAATATGTGTGCTACTGCGCGCTGTATATGATACCGAACGTAATTGATTCTACTTTTTGCGACTGATTTAGTTCTGTTTTTCTCTTTATATTTATACTATCGCTAATCTAGCTCTACATTCTTTTGGTTCTCTGGGTTCTATATTATCCTGTCTTCTATGCAATTTCGCGTATTTATTCTTTCACTGATTCTGTGAATGACAACCATGACGTTATGTATGATTCATGCCTTTCACACATTTTTCGAACACGTGCTAATCTGAATAGATGTCCCATTCCTAGACATTTTCTTTTATCTTTGACCCCGTCTCTGTAGCTGTTAAACAGGTTCCAGTGAAATGGATCTTCATAGAATAGTGATCTTCCCAAATCAGTTCTATGCGCATTTGCTAATCTCTTTTTTAGGTATCTGCTCACGTATTGCTCGAGTGTCTTTTCTTTTGTGAATTTGAATAGATCGTCAGCCTCTACAAACGGGCATCTATGTATCAATCTTAAACCTACTCTATATTTCCTTTGTATTAGCTCTTGTTGACCTTTAGGTAGTAAAGCAAAAAATGGAAAGATCCAAGTAAAGAATGGAAACGAAAAGGCGAAAAAGCATGTTCTTAGTACCTTTGTAGATATATTTTTGTTCTTTTTTAGCCATTTTATTTTACCGTAAGACTTTTGGATTTGACTCAGACATAGATCTACTGTGGGTTTTAGAGATAACTTGTCGGACCACGTCCATCCCAAATATTTGAACTTTTTCACTTTTTCTAGTTCTGTGCTGTCCATGCTAACTGAAATTTCTTTTTCTTTTACTTGTGAATGGAATACTTGGTATACTGTTTTACTGACATTTATGGGTTGTTGCCACTTACATGCGTAGTTATGTATATTATTGCAGATTCTTGTACCCTCTATTTCTATAAAATCCATCATTTTCCCATATTTCTTATATATAGGTGGAACAATCAAAGTGCAAAGATCATCTGCAAAAATATGGGTAGAGAAGGCATTGGTAGTCTTTACTAGATCTGCATGGTATATGATGAATACGAAAGGGCTTAGGGCGCTTCCTTGAGGAAGTCCTATCTGAGTGTTGAAAGTTTCTGACTTGGAGCTTCCGAAGCTAATGTATGCTTTTCGACCTGCTAGCCAGTAACTGAGTACTTTCAGTATTTCTGGCGGGATTTCCATTCTGAACAGTTTTGTGATTAGACCCTTATGCCACACGAGGTCATAGGCTTTTTTGTAATCGACGTAGATACCCATGACTGGGATATTGCCAGCCAGGTTGTTTTTCACTTCTTGATAAATGGAAAGTACTCTCGTTTGCAATTGACATCCTTTTCTAAAACCAGATTGTTCATCTGGGATAATCTTATTTGCTCCAGTCCATTCCTGAAGTCTGTTAAGAAGGATTTTCTCGTATATTTTTGAATGAGTAGCTAGAAGAGATATGGGTCGAGTTTGGTCACATCTCGGTATACCCGCTTTCAGTTTATTTAGTGTGACTATTTTAGCTAGTTTCCACTCTTCTGGAAAGGTACTCGTGCTTAACCAGTCATTAAAACATGCACTTAGACAGTCTAGATATCCTGGAGACAGTTTCTTTATCATGAAGTTAGAAATATTATCCACTCCCGCTGATTTTTTTGCTTTCAATTTTCTTACTATTTCTTTTATTTCTGTTGGATTTGTAGGTTTTATCTTTACTTTGCAATTACGTAGTGTGTTCATAATGTCGCTATATTCTTGTTCTATTTCAGATGTGTGTTTGTCAACCGGATATAGATTTGTTGGTGTAAAAAGATCACTATAGTACTCTGACAGTTCGTTTACTATTTCTGATGGCTTTGTCAGTTGTTTATTTTTACCGGCAAGCTTATTGAACGGTAGTGCCGCAGGTCTATATATTCTAGATAGATGTTTCCAGAAACTTGACATATCATTGTCGTAGTTATTTTGTATATTAGACAGAAAAGCGTTCCATCTACTTTCCCGATAGTTACTGATTTCTTTTCGTACGTCTCTTTCTAGGTGTCGTAGTATAACTCTATCTTCTTCTCGGCGTTGTTTGTGAAACCTGTTTTTTACCCTTCTAACTATTTTCAGTTTTTCAAGAATTTCAAACGGTAGCGATGGTCTCCATCTGTCTTTTTCAATCCAGACTGATAGTCTACCTTTTAAAGCTACTAGAAATCTCGAGTAATGACTGTACCATTCGAAAGATTTCATGATACGTTCTTGTTCTATCCAGAATTCTTGTAGTAGATTTAATATTAATTCGTACTGCGTCCATTTAACGATCTCAAAGCTATTCATTGTTTCGATACGCATGAATTCGGATTTGTAAAGGATGGGCCAATGGTCACTTGAACCAAACTCTAGTGTTTCTCCTGTTATTCTAGGGATATTGGTGAAAGTGAAGTCAATATTACGAAGTGATCTTTTTGATGAGTTTTTTGTGCCTTCAATGTATTCTAGGTGGTTATCCATACACCATTTCTCGACAATTTCGCCTCTTTTGTCCGTNAAGCTATTCATTGTTTCGATACGCATGAATTCGGATTTGTAAAGGATGGGCCAATGGTCACTTGAACCAAACTCTAGTGTTTCTCCTGTTATTCTAGGGATATTGGTGAAAGTGAAGTCAATATTACGAAGTGATCTTTTTGATGAGTTTTTTGTGCCTTCAATGTATTCTAGGTGGTTATCCATACACCATTTCTCGACAATTTCGCCTCTTTTGTCCGTAGTTGGACTATTCCATTGTCTGACGGATGCATTGAAATCGCCTGCAATGATCGTATTGTCCGTTATCAAATTTGAAATCTCGTTGATGTCTCTTTTTTGACTATCAGGCCAATATATACCTATTACTCTTAATGGTTCGTTTAGACCAAATACGTCTATTACCACTGTGTTGGCCATTTTCGTTTCTATTTGTGTCGCTTTCAGGTGTTTTCCAACTGCTATTACAACTCCACCATTCTTGTTTGTCCCTTTCTCATAGAACATATTATAGTCAGGTAATGGATGTTTGTTCCAGATCTTACCGACTTCTGTACATATTATGAACGATGCCTCGACTTTATTTATCAGTTCGATAACTTCCGAACTTCTAGAACACAGTCCTTCTACGTTGTAATTTACAAAGGTCATGGGTGCTGCGTGTTTATTTACTGAAAAAACGTTTTTCTTATTATGATCTTCCCACTTAGTAAGTATACTATTAAGCGTTGGAGACGTGTACCATTCTCGTAGGATTTTGTTAATCTGTTTTCTATCTTTGTCGGCTACCTTACATTTTTGTAATCTTTCATCTACTATCACGATTGGATCAGGAGCTTTATTATAAGCACATGCAAAAGCTAAAGCATTTGGATTAAGCATTGTGATGATTTAAGTTTCTAGACTGATTGGTTTTTCTACCTGTTCTTGATCATCTTCTTTGTCCATTTCTCCAGTTGACATGCCATCTATCTCCATATTCACTGAAAGAGCGTCGAGTTTGTCTTTTATGTGTGCTGTCGTTTTTTCTACTGCTTTTTTCACTTTGGAGCCTTTACGAAAGGCCGATCTCACCAGCGGAGGAATGACGTCCGTGATTACTAGTTTTACGAGTTCCAAAAGATTCGAGACATTCTGGCGCGTTTCTAAACCTGTTTTTTCGTTTTCCTTAGTCTTTGATTCTAGATCAGCAATTTGCTCGTGGATTTTGCTCATCTTTGCATCCAAGTGTGAACATATTTTGTCGTATAGTTCTTGATTCGTAATGTCTACCGAACTCGTTTGGTTAAAAATTTGTGTCGGAGTCGGGGCAGTTGTTCTCCATGCTGTTGGTTTATATACTTGTTGTTCCGATGCACCAGGAAGTGGTGGAAACGAGTCAAGTGCAGGCTTAAACTGTTGCGTTTTTGACGATTGTTGCGTATCAGCTTGTGGTAGCTTGATTTTGCCTTCCGCTGTAGCTTTTTTTACAGCTCTGTTTAGGTTCGCACGATACTCTCGAATTACTTCACAGTTTGCATTCAATGAGTAGTGTTCTTGGTGACACTGAGCACACTTGTACTGTTTTGTGCATATTTCATTATGACCTTGCTTGTACTCTTGCAGACAAAATCTACATTTTTGTTCAGTGCTGCTACATTTACTACGAATGTGTCCAACACGCCAGCATTTATTGCAAAAGGTCATCTTGTTTGCTGGCCTATATGGAGTTATTGAACAAAGTTTATTTCCTACACCGATATGACCCAAATTTATTAATCCATTATATTCTTTCAGATCTGAGACGATGAATCGAAAGTCATTTGTTTCACGTTGGTATGGGTAGACGATCATGCGAAACTTATCCACTGATGTTGCAGATTTCTTGACTTCCTTCATTACATGCTCAACTGCGAATTCTTGAGGGACATTACGAACGACCAACGAGAATTGATCAGGTGTAAATTTAGGCATCGTTATTGATATTTTTTGACCTTGAATTTCTGCTGGCCATACCCTGACATCGCAGAGTTTAAGATAGTCTTCTTTGTCGTTTACTCCGATCTTAAGTTGATGACCGATATATCTTACTACCGAGAATCTATTTGACAATTGAACCTTTTTCTTTTCAAAATGACCGTACAGTGCATCCGATGCAGCTACTGCTGACGGAAATTGAGCAGAGTTAAAGAAGCTAATTGAGAAGCATGGTAGATTATGCACGACCGCACGCTGAATATGTTCTAGCGGTATTTCATGCTGATTATCAAGATTATCTGCTACAGCGTTAGTTGTTGTTGATGGTTTATTCAGCGGAGACCATTTGATTTCATTGTCGTGTTCGTTTTTTCGTACTTTATTTGATTTTACTAATGTAAAGTCATCGCTGGTGTTTAGCGAACGCTTAGTTGGATCTGGTGGAGCTTCACCATCCATGTATGAATCATCGCTTTTTTCATTAATTCCAAATAAATTTGTTACATTTTGTTCTAATAGAATCGGAGTATTGTTCTGTTCTTCGTTGTACATTGTTATCGGCGCATGTTGAAATGTATGTACACTTGGATCATCTTTCCACGTGCTTTCTTTTTGTTGCTTCGTTTGGTGCTGATTGACGCTTGTTTTACTTACTGTTGAGTTTTTATGAGTAACTTGTGTATTTGTTCGTACAGAAGATGCTTTTGAAACTGTTTTTCTCGAATCTTGATTCATTGATAGCTGCGTAAAGTTGCTAGATGAATTTGGTGACGAGTTTAATTGAAGCGAGTACCATTTACCGGTTACCGTATCGTAGATGATTTGAGAGCCATCATTACTCTTGAAGATTTTAGGTTCTCCGCTCATAGTGAGCTAAGAGAGTAGTTGGAAGCAATAGTAAATAATTGACGAGTACTAATTTGACTTAGTTTATTTTATTGAGATAGATAAAAATAAAGGCTGAAAGGTCGTTAATTGACTCTAATACGCTTATTAATAAAGATACTAAGAATAAGATGTAATAAAGAAGAAGAAG